TCAATCGATTCATGATCTCAATCAAAAACTTAATAATCACAACCTCTATACTAGTATTGATTATTTCGCTTAATTCAGGTTTTTTTCGGTTTGTTTGGTTTATTTTAATTGTTCAAGTGTTTAATGTTTCACAAATGTGAATTAGAATTAAATTGTATGGAATATCAATTTAAGTATAAGTTAAGTACTTTACGTTTTAGATGAGTAGATCTTTGGGTTGTTTTTTTTAAAAGAAAACAATGGACAAAGGAATAATTTTTTAACTAACATATTTTCTTGATGGGACTCTGCAATGAAACATTAAATTAGATTGTTTTATTTATACTGTTTAACTAACTTTAGATTGTGTATAACATTCAATAATAGTTTACATTACGATACAGATTGAATTTTATTAATAAAAATTACACATGCAAAGGGTGTTGTGGATTGCAAGAAGGGAGAAGCTGGTAATTTTATTTGGAGATTGTTTAAAATTGTATATTAGGGGAAATTTTCAAAACAGTGGCTGTTAATTAGATTCATTTTGTATTGTTTGTTTCAATTTTCCCATTGATGTTTAGAATTGCAATTAGTATATATACATCCTGTACGGATTGCCTCGATCTTGTTTTAAGACTCAAGTATTATAAGCTTGAATGGATGGTGACTAGCAGTGAAATTCAGGACGCGCTTTTTGTCAATAACACTGAATTTTCAGTGTACTGGCTCTTATGGAGATAAGTACATTAGTGTGTATTTGGGACTCCTCAGCCATCAGGAATTAGTAACGGAGTGGATAACGTGATGGCGTTTAAAGCGAACGATACTGGTTTCGAGTCCTAGAGTGAATACTAACTGCGGGATGGGGAAATCCAAACATTCAATATAAAAATGAACAACCACAAGTCACTTTTATTCATATTTTATGAGAGTATTTTAATATATCTATTAGCAATAAATAACCCGACAGCGGAAAAAGTTTCAAGAGAAAGGAATATAAGATACCTATACGACAACGAAGAAACTATCAGGGAAATATAGTAAACCAGAGAAACCAGTCAAGGATAAAGAAGGTAGGTCAACCATCGAGATCCAAGAACAGGGGAAAAGATGAGCAGAATACTTTGAGAATCTCTTGAATAGACCAGTTTAATTGAATCCACCAGACATCGAAGCTACAGACCTTCCCATAGATGTCACTTGACCAACGACGGAAGAAATCAGGATGGCTATCAGATAAATCAAGAGTGAGAAAGCAGAAGAACCTGACAATATACCAGATGAAGCTCCGAATTCGGCCATAGAAGAAACTGCAGGCATGATTCACGTCCTATTCAGGATGATCTGGGAGGAAGAACAAGTGCCGACGTAATGAAGGACACCTCGTCAACATACCAAAAAAGGAGATCTCAGTGAATGTGAGAAATACAGAGGCATCACACCACTATCGATACCAGGCAACGTTTTCAACAGTGTTGCCTTACCGGATGAAAGAGGCAGTAGACGCCCAACTTTGAGATCAACAGACCGGATTCCGTAAGTATCGGTCGTGCACAAACCAAATCGCGGCACTACAGATTATTGTTGAACAATCAGTTGAATAGAACTCATCACTACACATCAACTTCACTGACTATGAGAAGGCGTTTGGCGTTGTGGATAGGAGGACTTTATGAAAACTTCTTCGACAATATGATATACCTGAGAAGATCATCAACATCGTACGGAGTTCATACGACGGATTACACCACAGAGTCGTGTATGTAGGATAGCTAAAACGCGCATTACAAGTGAGGACCGGAGTCAGATAAGGCTACAAACTCTCCCCCTTTCTGTTTCTTCCGTTGATTGACTGGATTTTGAAGACGTTGACATCTGAGGGAAAGCCCGAAAGACAATGGACATCTCGTAATTAATTAGAAGATTTAGACTTCACAGATGACCTGACCTTTCTATCCTGTACACACCAACAAATGCAGATGAAGATAACTAGTGTAGCAGCCTCTCCATTATAAGGCCTCAACATACACATTGGAAAAAGCAAGATCCTCAAATACAATACGGAGAATACCAACACAGTCACACTTGATGGTGAAGCTCTGCAAAATATGGAATCTCTCAAGTACCTAGGAAGCATAATCAATGAACGTGGAGGATCCGATGAAGACGTCAAGGCGAGGATTAGCAGGGCAAGGACAGTATTCCTACAATTGAAGAACATATGAAACTGAAAACAATTGTGAACAAATATCAAAATCACAATCTTCAATACGAATTTCAAGACAGTCCTACTGTACGGAGTTGAAACGTGGAGAACTACTACAGCCATTATCAAGAACGTACAACCATTCATAAACAGTTGTCTACAGTTGGCCAGAAATTCTCAGCGACAGCCTACTGTTGGAGAGGATTAACCTTCCTCCAGCTGAGGAGGAAGTTAGAAAAAGACATTAGAGATGGATAGGACGTACATTACAGAAATCATCAAACTACATCACAAGGCAAGCGCTTACTTGTTATCCTGAAGGGAAACAGAAGAGAAGACCAAGGAACACATTACGTCGGGAATCAGAAGCAGATATGAAAATTATGAATAACAACTAAAAAGAACTAGAAAGGATTGCCTAGGACAGAGTTAGATGGTGAATGTTGGTGGGCGACCTATGCTCCTCCAAGAAGGATAACAGACATAATTAAGTAAATTAATAAATAATAACCATGAATAATAACATCTGGCTTAAATTTATAGTACTGAAATCCAGTTCAAATTGAATAATCATCTGGACAATAGATAGTAACATTTGTTCATGTATTAAAATAATTAAATTTCATCATTTGGAAATGACGTCAATAAACAGTGAAAATAAAACATGAATATGACAATGCAATGTAATGTAATGTAATAATACTGATTGTTCCAATAAGCTTAAAAAAGTCTATTTCATATTTCATTATAACAACAAAAAAGACAACCCCCCCACACACACACACACTCACAACAGAATACAGATTTACTCATCAGTTGATATTATGGTTTCTTTGTTTGTTTTTTTGGGCAAAATGTAATGTCATTATTGATTAATTATCATTAATAGATTACTACATCGAAATATGATTTTAGCGAACTATTCAATTCAGTAGTATGTATAGTTTGATAAGATTTTGTCAAATAATATTGCCTTCGTTTTTGTATCATATGTATTCATTATAAAGAATGATATTTGTTTATCCATTCATTTTATTACATTTGTAATTATTCGATTTCTGGGCATTTATTTTTTTTGTTGTTCAGAAAATTTGATTAGTTAATTACTATCAATGGAGAAAAACAAATTCATAGGGAGAAAAAAAAGCCATTTTTAATTAAACAATCGATGGAGACTAGAACAATTGTTTACGGAGATTAGATGGTGGTTGGAGGTAGTCGACAGGAAACTCTGGAACCGGGTTTCGTGCTACTTGGCACTCGTCAGCTAAGTGTTCCTGTTATCTTGAGGGAACTGATGCTCGGATAGCTCAGTGCTAACGTCTCTGACTGTGAAGCTGGGTGATACGAGATCGAATCCGCCAGGGAGCACCAGTTCCCTCAAGATTACAGATACACCTTGCTGACGAGTACCAGGTAGCACGAAACCTGGGTCCAGGGTTTCCTGTCGACTACCTCCAACCACCATCTAATCTCAATATATAGTGCACGCAGTGTCGAGTCACCTAGACTAGTGGCCACATTGTAACATGATCGATAGCATTCGATCTGCACTAATAAGGACTAGACACACATGACATTGATCGCCACCCAGTGATCAATCAATTGTGGCAATTTTTTACTTCTAGTATAAAGGTAGTTGATAGTAAGTGTTTATGAAATCTTTATTGAATGGTAACTAAAACAAAGAAAAAAAACTTGTGGGTCTAACAAAACAGAGCTTTATCTTTAAATTGTATTACTGGTATCTTGAAAATGTACAGTTGTAATCCTTGAAAAAGCTTGGCACAGATTGCCAGACGAAACGTTAGATTTACTTCAAATTCTGTCGCTAAGATTCTACAGATACATTTTTCCTCTTTAAACAGAAGAAAAATAGTTTAAAACTAATGTTCAAAAAATTCTACATATTCAAAAATAAAGATGTTTTTAGTGAATCATTGTTTGCAGTAACTTCATTATCAGGCTTTATAGTTGTAAGTCCGACTATGCACTTTTTGTTCACACCATTTTTTATTGTATTACTATATGATTATTATATTGATTATGACCTGACACTTTATTAAATGAAATTCCTAATTTACAAATAACAGAATTTTGAAGTAAGAGATGTGAAGATTCACTATTTTTAAAATACAACATTTCAACAGTCAAATTATCGATTCAATCTAATCTAGTTCACGATTGGATACCTGGAATTACTGGGAGGCTGTTTCGTTTTGGTGTGGGACTACACTTCAGCACGCACCCACGATCTCGTACATGGAAGTCGGATCCCAAACCTTCGATCTTGCGTGAGAACACCCAACCTCTAGACCTACAGGCCGCAAATAGTGGTCTAGCTGAGACTGACAAGAAGCCGTAATCACTAGAGTTCAATCCATGTCGTGTGGAGACAGTTATTCACTTCAGTCAATGGATGGACGGTTGGTCATGATCATGGATCGATTGAAGTTAGACATTAACATGACTGAATGCCGGCCAACTCAGTGGTTTAGAGATTAGGCGTTCTCATGCGAGACCGAAGGTTCTGGGTTCGAGTTCAATGTGCAAGACTGTGGTTGTGTATTGGTTATTTGTAACTTAGGAATTTCATTTAATAAAGATCAGAACAATTTGTAATAAAGTGTCAGATCATAATCAATATAATAACCACATAGTAATACAATAAAAAATGGTGTGAACAAAAAGTGCATAGTAGGCCTTACAACTGTAGAGCCTGATAATGAAGTTACTGTAAACAATTATTCACGAAAATCATCTTTGTTCTTGAATATTCCATGGCGATTTTTAAAATGTTGAAATCCTACTTTCATAAACAATTATTATTATTATTATCAGTATTAGTGGTAGTAGTAGTAGTAGTAGTTGTAGTAGTAGTAGTAGTAGTAGTAGTAGTAGTAGTAGTAGTAGTTGTAGTAGTAGTAGTAGTAGTAGTAGTAGTAGTAGTAGTAGTAGTAGTAGTAGTAGTAGTAGTAGTAGTTGTAGTAGTAGTAGTAGTAGTAGTAGTAATAGTAGAAGTAATAGCGGTGGTAGTAGTAGTAATAATAATAATATTACAATATGATTTGAGGACTAAGCAAATGACGAATTTCAATAAGCATGTGAATTGTTAATAATAATTAATTGTTAATAATAATCAAATACTTATACCGACATGTGAATATTGATATATGTAACATTATTAACGAATTATTCCATCGGTATTGTAAACCAGAATGCAAACTAACTAAGGCTACTAATAATTATCAGTAAATAACTGTAGAAAGAATGTTTTAAGGGTCCGCAAATTTAGAGATATATCCTCAATATGGATATTGAACTATGGTTTAGTTATATTGAAGCTGTCGGAAATAAGATGCAAACTAATTAATCCCAATTTCATACTGTACTAGTATCATACTTTTTCACAAACAACAACCGTATCATACTTTTTCACAAACAATAATCGTATACATTTCAGCTTTGTTTGTGAACAAAAATGTAGATTGATGAAGAGTTATAGGTTAGGATGTTAAGTCTTATCAGTAATAACGAGTTTTTATAGTGCAGTCGTTAAGCTACTAAAAACGGCTGACAAAGTGCCTTGTAAATTAATCGCAGAATTTCTCTTTTATTGATATTCAATAATAAATGGTTCCTTAACAGAAACCATACCGCTTCTAACCAAAAGTACAAACTGGTCCACCAGAGTGCTTGGCACTTGTGTGATTGCCATAGTATTGAGCTGTACTGTGGTGTGTGTTACTTATATTGACCTAAGTAGTATATGATGTTATTTGTGAACAGGTGTGGCAGCAGAGAGACAAGAGGATCGAACAGTAAAGAATGGAAACAGGATGCAATTTGTATGAAAATGTAAGAAATATGAAGTCTGATTCATTTTGAAACAATTGGTGGACATTTTGCAAATTAAGCATTTAGTTTATGATTGTTAGATTTTATTAACAAGTCCTGTAATTTTGTGTTACATTTGATTGTCCCCACCCATGTTCTGTTCACCACAGTACTATTCAGATTGTAACGTAAAAGCATATATAGCGTCTGGTTCTTTTGGAAACGGGATTGGGCCGTACTATTTGGGCCACAAATTTTAAGTCTGGGCGATGTCTGGCCCTTCCGTTAAACGGGATTGAGCTATACTGTTTGGGTTGTCACACGACAGTCTGGACTGTGTCCGGTTCTCCTGAAAACCAATGTAAAATTACCCTGGCCCACAAGAGTATATTATATAACTGTGAAAATCAACACATATACAGAAGTGTGCTCATATACCAATAACAAATGATCAATAGAAGCGGTAAATATCAACAACGAGGAGGTAGAATTCCCTCGCCACTCTGAACGGTAAAATAGCCCTTACTATCCCATCCAACTTGTATCATCTGTACGAGCTACCATATTTGATACTATTCATATTTAACATTGTTATCATACATAACAATTCAACTCAATTCTTCCACATTATCAATCATACATTTTTTTCCAGCTATAAACATTCACACAAATACACAAGTTTATCTCACATAAATCATTTTGACCGAAGTGACATGATACTACTATTTAAACTTGGTTTAATTTAATTTATTTATTTATTCACTAAAATATTAGCTTATACTGAGTCACAAAACAGCAGAAAATTTAATTTTCCTACCCAATGATTTACATTATATATGTAGTCAGAAATAACAATCAACTGAATTCATATCCTTCTACCTCAATTGTTTTAGGTCTATTAAAGTGGTATATTTCATTTATACAACTAGGTCTATATATGTATATTGATAAATTGTTTACATTTTCACCTTACTAATCATTGATATTTCTTTCTCTTCAGAAATAAATGATTATTTTATTTCAATGGTTAAGATCATGAGTCGGTTGAAGCTAGACCACCATGGAAAACCTGGAAGCACTAGACAGCCGTTTCGTCCTATTGTTGAATTTAGACATTAACACCGTTGGATGCCGGCTCAGTGGTCTAGTGGTTAAGTGTTCGAGCGCGATGCTAGTAGGTCCTGGGCTCGAATCTCGCAGGGGTCGAGGTCGTGGATGCGCATTACTGAGGAGTCCCACAATAGGACGAAACGGCCGTCTAGTGCTTCTGGGTTTTCCATGGTGGTCTAGCTTCAACTGGCTCATGATCTTAACCATTGAAATTACTACAATCTCCACAAAACCCATCTGATTATTTTATTGTTAAGATAGATAATATCGTTGTATTCATATTCCATTGGCATTTCTAGTTACTTGAGTATGTTACATAACAAAAACATGAATCGACTTAATACATTCGATAGACAAATTGTATTTGCGTCTTTCTTGTTAATATGTACGAAAGCTATGCTTATTTATTCATATAAAATGGGATTACTTAATAGATTTACATTAATCTGTATTGACTAAATATGGATCTTATCTTTAATGTTGACTAATAAACGCCGTTTGGTTCACTTTTTTATTTTGGATTCCTTGATAGACATTATATTTAACTACAATTAATGCTGGTTGATATTTAAATACTGAAAAACGAAATAATGTTGAAGAGAAGAGAGAAGGAAACTGAAACCAACTAAGATCAAAAAGAAAAGAATAAAGGAAAAATGAAGCTTGTGAGAGACAATTCAACGAAGATGTGCAAATGGTGTATTTGTTGTATGATTGTTTTACATCTTACTCAATCTCTATGTGGTGAAGCATTAAACAGTAAATTGGTTCTCCCCACCTGAGTTCTCGTTCACTACAACTATAACTGTTTTTATAAAAGTATATTCTATATGTGATTATACTAAGTTAATATTCGAAGTACTCTTTACAGTGTCCCCTTAAGTCACAAACCCTTTTTCTCACAATGATGGTTAAATATATGGTTATTTCAGTAAACTTCAAAAATAATGGACAGATGTATGGGACTTTTCATGTTCACTAGCCCGCCTTCGTAGATCGAGCACAGAACCTTTGGTTTATGCGAGTGGTCGCTTAAACTATAGACTACTGACACGGAATTTAATGGTTTACATGTTCAATTCCAATTAATTTGTCATATCACTTAACCATCTTCCAAATGATGTGAGGCACTCAACATAGATGAACTCCGCTAGTCACGAATTTTCACTGGAACTCCTAAAATTAACTCTTCAAATAAGTCACTAGCATACCCATGAATATTTACATCAAAGGGTTCATGGAGACTTTTGAATTTAATAGGACGAAGCAGCGGTTTAATGCTTTCTGATTTTCAATGACTGTCTTATTCAGATCAGTCCGCAATGTTAACTATGAAATGTAAAAATCTTCGTCTATTCCGTGTGGTGACTAGAAGAACAGACTGAAACTTAAGCATATCTCTTTTATCTTTCTTAAATAGGATGGTTGATTCTACTCCGAAATTTGCAGAATAATATTTTTTTCCAGATTTATTTACAAGTATCAAATTAAGTGGTAGTGCTAGGATGGGATAAATCATGTGAACATGTTTTTATAGCGGTTAGATAACTAACTTATAATGAAGATATCTCTACTTCTCTTTTCTTACTGACGATGAATTCTCTATCGAATTGATTGTTTCAACAGTAACTATACAATATGAAGAATATAACAAATATCAACCATATAAATTAATGACCAATTTTTGATATTATGCAGTAATGATGATAAAAACAATTAACGAAATCCTTTAAAAGTGATAGTCCATTGCCAGTAAACACAAATTGAAGTAGAAATGAAGATCAGGTAAATAAAGAACTCTTCATCAGAATCCTTTTTATAATCTATATGAAGTTGAACACAAAATGTTCAGATTTTGCAGTGTACAAAATTATCAAGACAAGTAATCGAGTTCTACTGACTCATAAGTTCAATTTCAGCTGTTCTGTATTCATCGTAGATTTATTATTACTGTTAATATCACTATTAGTATTACCAAGATTAGCATGATTAGGATAATTAGAATTCCTGTAATCCGTTATATGAACTTCATTAGAAATGGTTTGGTTTCTTTTATACTTTTTACTATCAGTTTTCAAAAATCTACTTTTATCAAATTGCATCGGTCTTTTTTGAACATGTCAGTATGTATTGGGGAGATTTAGAAAACTTCTCGAAAAATGACAACAAAGTCTCTGAAAACATTAAGAAGCATCTTACCCAATTAGCATTCACTAAACGTTTTACCAGAAACATCTCGAAAGCGAAAAATCACATGTCCAGTTTCTGATTGGATGATTACCTGTACTGCTACTATGTTTAGTAGAGTTCCAGAATTTTCAGGAAACCCAATGCCATATAAAATACTATAAAATCCCTAGTTTTTTCTGTAGATAAACGAACCTTTGGAGTAAAGCGGTTCTTCTATATTTCCCGCCTTTTCAATTTGCTGTTTAGATCTAGCCTGGAGGTTACTGGAAGAGCTTGGGAACCGAATCTAGCGTTCAATTAAAAGACTAATCAACTTCTTCGTTATCCTGTCTTTTTCCCAACCTTTGTTATCTAATCGCTTTCTACATAATAGATAATTCTCATTTTCAAAGATATTTTAAAACAGTCAATCTGTGACAAAGCCCATCTTAAATGTAGTTTTATCTAAATAAAGATCTTAACCAAAAAAATTAATAAAATCCTTACAAGTAACTGGCTTTAAGATGAATTTCTAAAGTTTTAGTGGCAGCTTATGACTAGTGGGATTCAATCATTTTCGGTGATTGAACTTAGTTAACAACAAACCTCAGACCTAAATTTCTTGATAGCTGCCTGTCATCAGTTGGGTGAATTGAGTCCAAACCTTATCCATAAAACATCACAAACCGAAACATTAGTACTCTGTTTGAACTGGAAAGACCTAGTGTAATTCTGAGATATTTAAAATTGATTTAGTCACTGACCAGTGATCAATTTTTGTTTGTCTTGTCTAGTCTAGTTTATCTAAACAATCGAAGTTTGTCGATTTATTAAGTACACTTTGGTAACATTTTATTCATAACACTATGTTATTGTGTTTTTTATACTATAAACATGTACGCAATTAATTATCTAGAACTTATCTTTCGAACTGATTTTCCTATACCTAGTGTCACAAA